GTACAAGAATGGCTTACTATAGCACTGTTTATAAATGGTAAAATTTTGAAACAATCAAAATGTACATCATTGGAACCTGGTATCACAATGGACTACTGTTAAAAAGATGTAGTTCCTTTTAGAAAAAAGTAAACAACATACTATTAAATGAAAAATAGGCTAAAGAGGCTGGGTGCGGTGGCTCACGCCTGTAATCACAGCACTTTGGGAGGCCCAGGCGGGCAGACCACGAGGTCAGGGGATCGAGACCATCCTGGCTTAACACGGTGAAACCCTGTCTCTACTAAAACACAAAAAAAATTAGCCGGGCGTGGTGGCTGGTGCCTGTAGTCCCAGTTACTCAGGAGGCTGAGCAGAGAGAATGGTGGAACCTGGGAGGCAGAGCTTGCAGTGAGCAGAGATCGGGCCACTGCTCCAGCGCGGTGACAGAGCCAAGACTCCATCTCAAAAAAAAGAAAAAGAGAAAAGAAAACTAGGCTACACTTGAACCTGGGAGGCAGAGGTTGCAATGAACTGAGATCACACCACTGCACTCCAGCCTGGGTGACAGAGCGAGACTCCATCTCAAAAAAAAAAAAAGTGATATATATTGCTAAAATACACACTTGAAAAGATGAGTTTTTCACTACTGCCAACATGTATGCATGTCAGCTTTCTTACCCTCTTGCCAGCACTGCCATTCTGATTGATGAAAGATAATATCTGATGCTTTTATGGTCTTATTTTTTTATATTTTACAACTTTAATTTATTTTGAATTTGTTTCTGTGCATGGTGTGCACAGTTTCTCCAAAATAGTATGCTGTGTACATGGTGTGAAGAGTTTCACCCAAATAGTATTCTAGTTGATTAGGGGAGATTTTATTTTATTTTAGTCATTGGTTTTTTAAGACAGATTCTCGCTTTGTTGCCCAGGCTGGAGTACAGTGGCATGATCATAGCTCACTGTCAGCCTCAAATTTATAAACAGTGCTATAGTAAGCATTCTTGTACATTGTGCTTTTGCACTTAGTTATCTCTTAAGATAAATTATTGAAAGTAAAATTACAGAATTAAAGGACACGCACATTGAAAAATATGATATGGGCTGGACGAGGTCGCTCATGCCTGTAATCCCAGCACTTTGGGAGTCTGAGGTGGGCGGATCACTTGAGGCCAGGAGTTCAAGACCAGACTGGCCAACATGATGAAACCCCATCTTGGCCGGGCGCGGTGGCTCAAGCCTGTAATCCCAGCACTTTGGGAGGCCGAGACGGGCGGATCACAAGGTCAGGAGATCGAGAGCATCCTTCTTTGGAGAATACTGTGCACCACCATGCACAGAAACACAATTCAAAATAGAGATTAAAGTTGTAAAAACTATAACAACAAGTAAGACCATAAACATCATGATATTCTCTCATCCAATCAGAATCGGCAGTGCTCGCCGCAAGCAGCGGTAAAAAAAAGCTATCGCACAGATAACAATAGTTGGCAGTAGTGACAAACAACCTCACTGCACTATTTCAATGCTGTCGTAATTTTACGCCATACCATCTACATCCCATTTTTTTAAGTTATATTGCAGATAGAAGAATCTCAAGCTCTGTCCCACACACAGTGCTGCAGTGCAGGCGATGTGAACTCCTCCTTCATTGACAACCTCTGCATCAAAAACCAGGTTCAAGGCGAATTCTTCATCTGCTTTCGAGCCTAACCAAAGTAGACCTAAGGGAATTAACAGGTGCCTAGCCACCATCGAAAAAAACCAACTAATTATATATAATATATATTAAGTAAAGATGAGGGTATTCTATTTTTTTTTTATTTTTATTTATTGAGAACGGAGCATCAAGCTACATAGCTCGCCCAGGCTGGATGCAGCTGGCCAGAAATCTCAGCTCACTGCAAGCTCCGCCCTCCTGGTTCACAACACCAACATACATCAAAATCAATAACGACCTACAGCTCGCCAGAGATAGACTGGGACAGGCCGCCGCCACGACAAAAAAAACATATCGCCGCATAAAATATTTATTCTCTACAGTGTTATTACTAGCACAAAGAGACGGGGTTTCACCCGTGTTAGCCAGGGAATGGT